TAATTATATAAAAAATAAAGTTAAGTAACAAAACTAAATAGAAGAGTTCAAATTTTGAAAAACTTTTGGAAAGTTAAAAATTATTGCCGATATATTTCAGGCGTTAAATCTAATATTTTATTGGATAAACTGAGAGCAAAAGATGATGGTGAAAATATGCTAAATAATACAATAGTCGGTTATTTCAGATTGTTGCTCGAGAACCTATTCGTTATTTCAAAAACTGACTGCAACAAGAACTCAGAAATGAAATCAACAATCTGACCAATATTTGATGGATTATTTGGTCGTTTCTGTTTTATTGTGTCCTGCCCTGAACTATCCCTTCATTATGCCAATAAATTCTTCAATTAATGAATTCCAGAAGAATTTTAAAGGCGCTACTCGTGACTTCAGTAAGTAGTACTTTGCCACTTCCCAGTAGTATTTTACAGTCATAACTTTGTATAAGGCTTGATTTCTTTCGCGTACACTTTTTTACACTAGAACATTGTCGAAGCAGAAACGGTTATGTTTCCATATGCCTGCCGGATGGAATAAAACTTTTCCAGTTGATAAACCAAAGTTATTAGTTCTCAATAAATCAGTCAATTTCTAAACAATATGTTTAATAAAAGAAAACACAAGCTGGTTAACAACTGTAGCCAGTTGGTGTAAAGTTGCAGCTACTATCTTTCTTTGCATCGGTGATGGAAATATCACTCCACGTCCAATCAGAGCATCCGTCGGTTCCACACAGAATGTATACAGCTATGCTACTGGACCCTCCGCTCATACTTCCACTGATTGCATCCAGCACCAAATTGGTAATTGGAATGTTTCCTAAAGCAGTTCCAGTAGAGGAACCATCTGCATAATCTTCTTGAACGTTGATTCCATATTTCGTGATACCTGAAAATGTAACATGTAGAGTCACAGGAACTGATTTTGTAATTTAGCAGGATAGCAATCTTACTGGAAAGTTTAATGCTTTTGTAGGTAACATCGGAAATAGAACCAGTTCCGGCATCAGAGTGAGTTTTAACGTGGATGCCATTGGCAGAGTTAGTTACAGTACAATCAGAGAACGTGACGTTTTTTACAGTGTTTACTGAACCATCAGAAGTGCTTTGACCGACGGATAAACTCAATCCGTGTCCTCCACTGCAAGTCAAATTCTTGAAAACCATGTCAGACCCTTGGTTTACAGCCACGCAGTCGTCTTGATTTTTGACTACACTGTTCTGAACGGTAATTCCGGTGGATCCGGACACGTCGAATCCATCAGTGTTGTGACCACCATTCTATTAAACAAGCATTTTCAGACCTGATACTCTAAGTTAAAAGAAAAAGCTCACGTCATCTCCATCAGAAACATCAACAACAAAATTGTCAAGAGTGGTATCGCTGGCACTGCTAATGGAAATGCACTGATGGGGGCAGTTCAATAGATTAATGTCAGAGAAAGTCGATCCTCCAGTAGTTGCGATTGTCAGGAATTTTGGTTTTGTAATTCCACTGTCTCCTTTGCCGTCCCAATAGTCAGCACCTTAAATTGAAAGTGGAAATCAAGTTCTCAACGCTTAAAATAACTGCACAGATATTTCTTAAATAACTTAAAAATATAATTATTTTGCCTTCTTCTATGTTAAAGACTTGCAAATGTTCAAATAAAATAGATAACTGATTTATATTCTATTGCAATTAAACTAAATACAGCTTACTCGGTCAGTTAGTATGGATCAGCAATAGACTTATATCCTATTGAAATGATGGTTAATAACAAAGTTCAACCTGAACAATTTACTATTCAGACAAGTAAAAGTAGATGTTGTCCTTTTTTCGAAATGTTTCCTTCGAAATACTTTTTCCAATTTTGAATCAACTTCTGTAGGAAATCTTTTTTACAAACCCATTCATAAATCCCCCCAAAAAAATTGTAAATTTTTACGAGTCCCATTCTGTCTTAATTTTGCTCCACATATGCGAAGTTAAATTCCTTTATGCAGGGTGTCTCATAAAATCACTACCGTCATTAACTTTGGTGTTTTAAATGGCTTAACAAAATTGTCCCTTCATTTCTGCATTCTGCATTTAATTTGCAATCATTTAATTCTCCATTGTCATTGTCCATCAACTTTAAATTTATTTTCAAATTATATTTTGAAAATTAATTTCTGAGAAACAGTTAGAGGTTTCTTTCGTCGGCTGTTCGACGAAACAGTGGACTTCATTTTTCTTACTTGGTTGAAATTGTAAGTGTAAGTATTGTAGGGTTGTAATAAAATTTCACTTTGTTTCTAACTTAATTCAGTTCCGTTTTTATTTAAATTTGCTTTATCATTGTTACTACTGTTTGCGTTGAGGGCAAATATGTGAAAATATTTTATGCATTTTAATCGGTAACGGATTTCGGTTAAATCTTAAAAACTGTAGAATATCTACAAATTTGCTGTACGTTGAATAATCATCAGCAAAATAGGCAATGTCAATAATAAAATGAAACAAATATAGAAAACGCATAGGCATTCATCTAATCTAGACTATTTGCCACTCTACTGTCATAGCAAAAAAATTAACACCTACCTTGCCCATTAAGTGTTAAACCGCTTCCAGTAACCGTGACACCGCTTCCGGTGATCTTTAGTAGAGGTCCTTTCCATTCCGCGTATTTCCATGTCCACGTACCTTCCATGGTTAGCTTGGTTCCACTTTTGAGAGAAAGAGTCAAAGTAGTCTCAGCTGGTACGGTGATTCCGGAAATGGTCAAAGTGGTGCAACTGGATACCGCAGTTGAAATATCATCGTAGCTAGTTACTGTACAACTTGTTGTCAAATTGGCAGCAGGTGAACTGAGAGCTGAAGCTACCAAAGTAGCAAATAAAAACACTGACTTGATCATGATTGATGTTCTTGATGTATGGCCACACCACATAAACCTTATATATGAAAATATGAAGAACTATCTAATAGATAAGGATGAGTGAAGTACTATATATCTCCTTAAGTTGCAGTTGTACGTCGTAGCAAAAGATTCTTAAAATAGAACACTCACTGTAGTAGAAGTGGGACATTGTTTTTTTTAATTGAAATTGAAGACCTACTCGACCACTTTTTCGGATGTATTCACTTGTAAATACCGCCCACTGCTTTATCGTCTCATTTAATAACGAGAAAAAAACAAGTAACTTGTAATGTTAAGAAGTTGTCGGTTGAATTATTAGAAAAGCAATTTGAGTTGGTACAGTTTCGAATGATCATTTGCTCACAATTTTGTTCTAATTCAGGGTAGCGGCTTAAAATAATCCAAGTACTTGATGTGAACTGCTTGGACCAAAATTTCAGTTCCAT